AGAAAGAGATTGAGGAAGACATCAGAAGATGGAAGGACCTTCCATGCTCGTGGATTAGAAGAATTAATATTGTGAAAATGACAATCCTATCAAAAACCATTTATAGATTCAATGTAATGCCAATCAAAATCCCCATGGCATTCTTCACAGAATTGGGAAAAAAATCCTAAGATTCACATGGAAGCACAAAAGACCTCGGATAGCCAAAGCAACCCTGAGCACTGAGAGCAATGCTGGGTGGCTTACTATACCAGATTTTAAACTATATTACAGAGCTATTGTCATAAAAACAACATGGTACTGGCACAAAGATAGACCCATAGATCAATAGAGCAAAATTGAAGACCCAAATATGAGTACATGCAATTTCAGCAAACTGATATTTGACAAAGGGGCCAAGATCATTCACTGGAGGAAAGACAGCATGTTCAGCAAATGGTGCTGGAAAAACTGGATCCCCACCTGAAGAAGAATGAAACTAAACCCCTATCTTTCACCCTGCACAAATGTCAACTCCAAATGGATCAAAGACCTCCATGTAAAACCTGAAACTCTGAAACTGTTAGAAGAAAACATTAGGAAAAACCTACAAGATATAGGTGTAGGAAAGGACTTTCTAAACCAGACATTGGTTGCTCAGGAAATAAGGTCAAGAATTAACAAATGGGACCTCATTAAACTAAAAAGCTTCTGTACATAAAAGGAGGCAACCAAGGAAGTGAAGAGAAAACCCACAGAATGGGAGAAAATCTTCACCAGCAACACATCCAACAGAGGTTTAACATCCAGAGTATATGATGAACTCAAAAAACAGAGAACAGAGACCTCTTGGGGTAAGTCTATAGCGCAGCCCTCCGCGCTTTGACTCCCCAAGCCACATTCATCCTTCCATCTCCCTCGCTGTTCTCTACTCCTAGTTTGGGCCCTGCACCATTCCTAGTCTTGGGGCCCCAGACATCTGGGGAACCAATACTGCATCCTGACCCTTTTCACCCAGACCAACTTAGTGCCTTTCTTGGGCCCCAGGAGCACCACTTCTGGCCCTAGGCCCGCCCTC